TTATTGCCCTTATTTGTCTTGTATTTAAGTTGCTGCTGTTTGACCTTTCATTTGTCTGGTATTGCCTGTGTTGTACACAGTTGTCTTGCAGTTGAGCTATCTGTGGATTTATTTAATAAACCTCGTTTTATTTTCATCATCGTCTTCATCCTTTGGACTAATCGTGACAGAATACCAGACCCAAAAAATGAGAAGAAGAACTATGGACATTGCTTCCATTAATGTTGCCCCGACGAGGGGTAATAAGTTACTGGAAGGAGGAACAGTGTTTGTGTTCCAGCAAGGCAGAGACTTGGAGCTTTACGTGGAGGAGTTCCTCAACATCTGCCATCTTGCCACCTGTGACAACGTCTGTCTAATGGAGGGATTTTGGTGTGGACTGGATGAAGATCTCCGCTTCGTCATGCCCCGCGGTGCTCTCTGCTGGACCCTGGAGGCTTATATCAACTTCGCACTGTGAACATACGGATCCACGTTCACAGTGGGCGGAGCAGAGGATGATAGCAACCTCGTCCAGCCACACCGCACAGACATCGCACAGCTAGACACAGAGCACAGTCCACCAACACCTCTCACTATGGAGACGACAACGCCAGAGCCCCCCGCAGACGGGGAGCTTCCGCCCGCTGCGAGAACGGCGCCTGTGATGGCAGAGCCCACTAACGCCCCGGAGCCGAAGCCCCTATGTGAGTCTGACCAGGGGTGTGAGCCGGCAACAGCTGTCCCTGTGGGAAATATGGTGGACATTGATTCTGGGGAGGACTGGCTCATTAACTGGGACACGGAAATACTGCTTCCCACCCTACCCCACCCTGATATCGCTACACTTTCTTCATCGTCGCTGGTTCTAGCCAGCACAAAGACTGATTCTTCACCCGATATGAACTGTGAGGTTGGCTGGGATCACGGATAATAATTCACTCTCCTACATCCACTACCAACCCCAGCCAGTCCTCCAGCCCTTCCTCAGCTGGATGCCTGCAGCCCTGTGTCTTCCCTTGTGATGCCTTGCAGTGACGTAAAGCCTCAGGTCATACAGTCACCAGCCTCGCCTGAGTCAGTGGATTATTTGGCTCCGCCTCCAGCCTCTGATCCCTTCCCTCCACCTTGGCCCGTCGGCTCCGCCTTGGCTCCTCCCTCTCTCGGCTCCACCAGAGACCCTCGGCCTTACGACTCCACCGGGTTCCCTTGTCCCTCCGGCTCCACCTTGGTCAGTCGTCACTCTGCCTGCGCCACGGACTTGCGAGCCCTTCGCTGCGCTCTGTATCTCCACCCCTACGGCTTCAGTGGGCTCCTCCTTCCCCCCGGCTCCGCCTCAGTCCTCGGGCACTCAGGCTCCACCTCGGACGCTCGTCGCTGCGGCTACACCTAGGTCTTCAGTGCCAGTGGTGTCGCTTGGTTCCATCAGCTCTCCGTCGTTGCCCTGGGATCCCCTGACATCGGCTCTGTCTCCTTCAGTCGTCCCGCGGATGTCGTCGGCCACACGAACACCTTGGCTCCTCCCTCCATCGACTCCACCGTGGGCTGTCATCCTTGCTGCGCTCTGGGTCTGCAACACCTGGCCACTCCTCCCATCATTGACCCCATGGTTGCTCCCACCATCTGTGCCTCCATGGGGTCACTGCCTATCTGCCTGCCTGTTCTCAACAGCCCTCTGCCTGCTCCTCCTCTCCAGCCCTTCTCCAGCTCCTCGCCCTCCTCCAAAGCCCCCACCATCCCTCCCTTAGCTGTCATGGTAATGCATTTAATCTACTCAGGTGTTCATCGTTATTGCCCTTATTTGTCTTGTATTTAAGTTGCTGCTGTTTGACCTTTCATTTGTCTGGTATTGCCTGTGTTGTACACAGCTGTCTTGCAGTTGAGCTATCTGTGGATTCATTTAATAAACCTCGTTTTATTTTCATCATCGTCTTCATCCTTTGGACTAATCGTGACAACATGCACTGCTCCTCTCTACTTCCACAGGGAATGACAGAAATCCTCAAAACAGCATATTTGAATGGTTTCTGAAAGATTATGTGACACTGAGGACTGGAGTAATGGCTGGTGAAAATTCAGCTTTGCCATCACAGTAATAAATTACATTTGAAAATATATTAAAATAGAAAACAGTTCTTTAAAATTCTAATAATATTTCACAATGTCGTTACTGTATATAGGTAGTATTCTACACTCCAGAAACTGGTGTGAACAAAACTGTTTAACAGCGTCTGCCACTGCTAAAGTGAGTTGAAAGGCTGTTAAAACACTTGATTTATCAGCTGATGACAGAATAATCAAAGTCTATAAAAGTGTCAGTTACAGAGCACATCTACATCTAATTTTCTCAATGCTGTACTTTCTGACTACTCCAAAGCTTCTTTAAGTTTTTCTTGGCTGTGAAGCTACAAAGAGGTTAATGTTAAGCAACAATATTTCACATGGAATTCTGCCAAAATCCTTGTGAAGTCCATAATTAAATAAACTAAACAATACAATTCTGGTATCGGCCTTTCCTTATCCATGGCAGGAGATTTTAAACATCCTCATTCCAAGATCATGCAAGATCATCTTTTGTCTGTCTGCACTTGAGCTTGACTGTCAAGCTTAACGCTGAATCACTCTAAAACACTGTGGGTGGAGGTGGGAAAAGGACCAAGTTTCGGTAAAAGATTATACATATTTTAAAAGCACAGGAAGGGTGCGATCAAGAACAAATGCTCTTCCCAAGCTAACACTCCTTATATAAGGATACGACTTAAAAGAGCTATTAGGGAAAGAAGGTTAGATTAAACTCTATCCTGTGCTACACTAGCATTCAAAAACAAAAGCTTTTTTTGCTTGTTTTGTTTTGTTTTTAATAAATTAATACTTTTATTCAGCAAGGATGCATTAAATTGATCAAAAGTGACAGTAAAAACATTTTGGCTTTACGTTATTTTGACTTCTCCATCATACAACTCTTTAAAGAAACACCTTAGTGACTGACAGATGTGTTCGTTCACCAGCATCAGCGTAAATGGCTTTAGGTGACTTAACATCTGCGCTCACCACTCGTGTAAATGTTACACCAAAGGATTTTAGCATCTAGCTTCTCCTGAATTTCCCCTGGAGGAAATCATTGACATTACTGGCACGGCTAAAAGGAAACTGCCTTGCCTTTATCCTGTCAGCTTTGATCTGCACATCCCAGAGGAATCGTATAACTACACCATGTCAATCACTGTGAAAACACTTCAATCATTTTTGCCAGTGTTACTGTTAAGCACGTTCAGGTAGATGGTTGTTTAGTTGATACGTTTAGCTACTATCTCTGTCTTCATTCCCTCTAGTAATATTATTTCCTTCTTTTAAACGTCCCATTTCTGCTCTCTAGTTTGGGGATCTCTTTACACGAGAGACTTAGACTAACATGCGCATTTACAAACATGCCTGCAGCTTTCAATGTACAGTACACAACTGCTCGTATTAGCATTGTTGCCTAATTACTGAACAAAACGAGCTGTGATTCATACAATACTATAACAGGAAAAAATATTAACAATAAACTGACAATGAACTCTGGTGAAGAAATAATCTAGAAAAATATTACTGTTTTAAATAATCTAATTTTAAAAAAAATTTTTACATCCTATGTCATCCGCTGGAACGCCACCCTCTAATGCACGTACAAGAGATAGCGGAAGCTAGAGATTACGATTTAAAAAGTTTTAAATATGGATATTTTTCTTACACAAATGCATCGCTTCAGAAGGCCTTTATTCACCCCCCGGAGCCATGTGGAGTACTTTTTATGATGGATCGATGCACTTCTTTGAGCTTCAAAGTCTCGACCACCATACACTGCCATTATAAAGCTTGGAAGAGCCAGGGAGGGCATTCATTAATATAACTTTGATTGTATTCGTCTGAAAGAAGAAAGTCATATACACCTAGGATGGCTTGAGAGTGAGTTAATTATGGGGTAATTTTATATAAATAAAACAAAAAAAAAACTATTTAAATGTGACATACAGTACTTCACTCCCGTATTTGAAAATACAGCCCAATTTCAATAACTGCTTTTAAATGTTCAACACATTGCTCCCCCTTTTGTGTTCTTTTTGATTGAACATTTTGACTAATCAAAATGAAAAATGGAAAAAAAGTCATAAAAATTAGTGCTGGTCGGTATACCGGTTCATACCGAATACCGGTGTTTATTTTTGTTATGATATGAATTTTTAACAGTGCGCTGCATGAGACAAAAAAGTAATATAGCCAAAACAACCACATAGCCGCTCTTTAGTGTAGATGCATGTTGATTTTATCAGACGATGCCGCGATTATAAATGAGAGTGACTCCTGGTTAACATGTATTAAAAGGGGTCGTGTTTAGTCACTATTTAGTGTGGTATTTTTTGACAATATTCACTCATCAATCAGTAGAAAATATGGTTAACACCCGGTCATGCATGAAAAAAAAAAAATACCGTCATGTACCGTGAAACCGGTATAATTTTGAAAAAGACTGTGATATAAATTATTGGTCATACCGCCCAGCACTAATATAAATGTTCTTTTTAAATTGCAATACAGCAAAACATTACTTTCTGTGAGCATGTCAGCAAAGTAGCAGCCACTGAAGCTTCCCAAATTCTTTCACATTCAGTCTTTAAAGGGGTTATATGATGCGATTTCATGTTTTCCTTTGTCTTTGGAGTGTTACAAGCTGTTCGTGCATATATAAGATCCGTAGAGTCGCAAAAATTAAAGTCTCAAACCCAAAGAGATATTCTTTCTAAAAGGTAAGACTCATCCACGCCCTCTTAAAATGCCTCATTTAAACACGCCCCCACATATCTACATCACATCAGCGTGTGGGAAGATTTGCATAACACCGCCCAAATGTTTACGCAAAGAAAGAAGGCGTAACTTTTATTCTCGCTGTAGTATTGTTGCTGTCACCGCCATGTCGTGGAGACGCTGTGTGTTTTTCAAATATGGTAAGGGTTGTAACATTTGCGTCACACGCTTGAGGTATTCGGCCAATCACAACACACTGGATAGCTGGCCAATCAGAGCAAACCACGCTTTTCAGAACGATGAGCTTTGTAAAAATGTACGTGTTTCAGAAAGGCGGGGCAGAGAGGAGCAACAATAATGTACAGTATGTGGAAAATAATGTGTAAATCGCGTAAACACATTGCATTACACCAAAACACAAAATAATGTTATTTTTAGCAACATCATATGACCCCTTTAATCGATTGAGGAACGTAGATTTCTGCAATTAGTGCAACATAATTGGAGTTACATCCTAGTTATGAAAATTACAAATTACTGAAATTGCTTTGAAATTTGATATTGGCTACATTATAGCCGTTTAATTATGTGTAGAATCACCTGACCCAGTCCTGGAGCAATCTGAACGATCACACACCCAGGCCTTCACACAGTCCACAGGAAACTCTGATGGCAAGCCATGTTCCCTGACATTCATTCACCTAATGATTACCACAGAAACCATGTGCACCGATTGACCCTCCCGACTGCATAAGAGAGAAACAGAAAGAGACACAGAGAGAGAGAGATAAGACCGTGAGACCTACTTACCACACACTCCTAAATTTAGCCATCACTGACCATTTTTGATACATGTGAGCTTTCCCATAGAGATTACATGTTGGATGTATATGTGTGTGTGTAGGCATGTCCCAGTTTTAACTGGGTCTCTGCTACTGGGCATTCTGGTGATCTACTAATGCAAGTCTCTAGCTTATATCTTTTTGCAAAATAAGAAGAATGGCATTGTAAAACTTCTTGTCTTGCTTCTATCTTTTTTATTTTTCCAACACTTTAATATATTGATATTTCATATATATTTAATATTGATTCACAAAATCACAATGATTTACTCTTATAAATCTGTTCTTTTTGGTGAAAATACAATAGGTGTAGCCCATTGCATAAACTCTAATGAATCAAAAACAAACATTGTGGCCAGTGTACTCCGATTCAAATGAAAAATTACTCAATTCAACTCCAAAAACGCACAACGTGACCAGCGTAGTCCGATTCACAAAACAAATGATTCTTATGAGTTGCTCCATTAGTGAATCAAAAATACACAGCATGACCAATATAGTTTGATTCACAAAACAAATTACTCTTATGAGCAGGTTCTTCTAATGAATAGTTCAAAAAGCCTGTTCTGTATAATTTATATAGATAACAAAGAGAATTTCTTTTATATGTAAGCAAAATGGATTGAAATACACCCTGATAAATTGGAATTGAATCTGAATCGAATCAGGTTATTGATACCCAGTCCTACACTGGAAATCACTCGTAATTCTACAATCCAAAAATACTTTGCAAACGTCCTTGTTTTTGTGTGTTCAAGTGAGGGAGCGAATGAGTGTGTCCTACTGTGAGAGAAAGTGACAGCTTCAAAAGTGTGTTGCGACAGGCATGTATGCGTGTATGAGCTCTCAGAATCAGTGTGACACGGTGCACAGGAGGGGCTGAGTGACCTTTGACCTCTAATGTCAGAATCAGACCCATCGTAAAACAAAGACAAGAGAGGCTTCAACCCGCTTTCACCTCGTCTGCATCAGAAAAATCTATGAGTGTGTGTTTACCTTAACAATAAGAAGTAAACAGACTGAGTAAGCAAAGGAATTTCTAGATGCCAGGCTGTGTGACCTCCAAACACAGATACATGAATCGCTGTGTATGTGAGAAGTTGAGGGTTTTAGATTACAGAAATGTAGCGGTCTTTATGTCGCCTGTGTTATCTGTTCCTAAACTCTTATTAGCTGTGTGCTTTGAAGATGTCCTAATAGCTCTGCTCCAGGGTCCTCTACAACCACAGAGCAACTCTTTCACTTATTGATTTATC